AGCGAACCGCCGCGGCCCCCGCGGGGTCGGCTCCGGCGCCCCCGCAGCTGCCAACCCCCCGGCTGTCTAAATGCCTGTTCCCACCTGGAGCGCCCACCTCGGTCCCCAGCAGGGGGCGCGCGGGAGGCGGCCGTCGGCGCCTCCTCGACGTTGCCCCCATTCCTTCCTCTCTGACGTCATAAAGACCTGTTTAAATATGAACGGGGCCGGCGGCGGGGCTCAGCGGCCGGGCGTCACTGGGAATCCAGGGGATCGGGGTTCGGTTCCCGGTGAGGGCACAGGCTCGGCGTGCGGGCGGGTCCCCAGCAGGGGGCGAGCAGGAGGCAGCTGGTCAATGACTCTCATCATTGACGTTTCTCTCTCTCACTCTCCCTTCCTCTCTGAAATCAATAAAGACCTATTTTTAAAATAATTTTAAAAAGCTGACTCATTGTCTCTTAAAAAATAATAGTAAAAGTAAAAGAGTGTGGTCGTTTAGTGTGAGCGTTTAGAACTGTAAAAACTATTGCAGAGCCTCAAAGCCTCTTGCTCGACGTGGTGAAAAATGAATAAACTGTTAGTCGAGGGAAAAGAGCCCTGTCTGGAGTCCTCCCTGGGTCCTTTCATTTCCACCCAAGAAAACGCTGGGCCCTGGCCGGTGTGGCTCAGGGGTTAGAGCCTCATTTGGGGGTTTGCTCCCCTCCCCTGGTCGGGGTGCATCCTGGAGGCAGCCAGTCCCTGCGTCTCCCACAGGGATCTTTCCCTCCCGGTCTCTCCGCTTCCACGGTCTCTGAAAAGCAACGGAGAAAACATCCCCAGGTGAGGATTCGCAACAGAAAAGGAGGTGATGGGATCAGGAAGGTGGGACTTGAGGTCAAAGGGGAGGCGCTGCTGCTATAAAACCAGCCCTACCGCCCAGCCCGGCTCCCAGCTGGAAGCTGAGGCCTGTCCCCCGACATGGCTCAAGACAGCTCCCCCAAGGGTAAGTCCAGGCTCCCAGATGTGGTGTCCGCTCGGGTGGCTTGGGGAGGAAATTGGGCTAAAAAACCTGTGGGCTTGTGAGAAGCTGTGGAAGTTCTCAAACGTCTAAATTACTGGGGTTTGGGGGAGCCAGTTCTCCCGGTGACACGAACTGAGGCTGTTTCCCAAAGTTCACGACGACGCGGACGCCCGAGAGCTGAGCGAGGGCCCTTTTCTGATGAAGCTGGTGCTAA